TACGTTGGTCCTGGTAGAGTTCCTCCTTTCTTGTGGTGTGGTGCGGCGAGGCGTTTTGGTGGATGATTTTGATTTCTTGTTCTGGAGGTTTTGATTCACGACGCAATCCTCTTCCTCTTCTAAGATTGCGATTAGGGTTTCAGTTGTTCTTGAAGATTTGGGGGTTTTTCTGTTCGATCATCTGATTTCTTCTACAACATTAGATGTAGGGTTTCATTCCATTTGAAATTGGGTTTCCCACGTTCTTGTGGTTTGATTAAGGTTGATGGCTGCGATACAAGATTCGTCTCTGGAATGTCTCTGGAATTGAGGATTATATTTTGAGAAATTTTGGGTTTTTATGCGTTTTAGGGTCCTGGTTCGGGGTGGCTGTGGGTGGTTGCTGCAAACGGAGCAGCCATAGAGGTTGCGGTGATGGATGATCGTGAAGTTCCCAGGCTTGGGATGAACTGGCTGATTTCCTGGAACACAGATGAATAAAACCGAACGTTGGTGATCCAATCCTTGCTGGCTTAGCGCTCGGGTGCCGCCACGGCAACGGAGGCGGAGCGAACCTCCGAGGAGAAGAAGCAGAAGTCGCCGAGGGTGAATGACTCTCCAGCGAGGATGATGATGTAAGCAAATCTTACGATGACAATGAGAAGGCCGATGATGAGTAACTGTGTCAAAACATTTCTGAGTAAGGCCGGCTTCCCTGTGGCAGGCTCCATGGAAACAGATTGTACACTTTTCTTCAAGAAAATAATATGCTTTCAATATTTCTTCAATTTATCGTAGAAGCGAGTGAAGGAGTGGTTAGCGTCGAAGGATAAAACAAGATTTATGGCTATGGATTCCTGTTTGAGTTATATGAAACAATGATGAAGAAGTAAGAGAAGAAGTGATAAAAATAAGAGGAACGTCGTGTGGAGGTTCCAAATTGCATAATTTTTCAAATTTTCTTTTAATTTACTAAATTTCATGTTATCACTCACAGCATATTTTTTTTAATAAAATATCCACCTTAGCATATCCATCTCAGCACATTTTAATGTCGTTTTTGACAACCTGACGGTTAAGACAAAATTGGTTCAATTTTACAAATATTTGGATCAAATTGAGATATTTTACAAATATATAAATCCAATTGAGACAGTATGAGGACTCACTTGAGATTCTCATACAAATACGAGAATCATCCGAGGATTTAAACTTTTCTTTTTAATATATGAGAAGTCTATATTGGCATTGAAGCCTGATGGCTTAGTTTTAGCAGGTATTCTTGGTGGAGAAACGTTAAAATAAATAGCTTGTAGGTTAACAAAGATGGAATTGAGCAAAGGCAGATAAGAAGTTTTTGCAGAGATGAGCATGGTCACATTTTATTGCTTACCGATAAAAGCCACAAAAACCATGTCACCTCACAACAATCTGGTGGCTAAAAGAATAATAGAATTTCCGCTTGTGAATATGCTTGTAATAATGTTCAAAGGATGAGACTGAGGTTGATCACTATTTATTATGATCAAGAGTCCGTTGTCATATCTTAACCCAAATTTTTAGATTAACTATATACGCTGATATACATTTTAATATATTATCACTTATAATAATGTTTTTAAACTCTTTTCAAGCTAATCATATCTAATCTCATATCCATGGGTGATAAATAAAAATGTTCTTACACTTTACAAACAAATCATATTGATCATCCCAAAATATAGTATAAAACTGTATAAGATCCATCACATAATATAACAAGAAAAATCAACAAAAGCTTAAAAATAAAGTTATTTACCGTCATATACATAATTATAAATTTAAAATTTTATTTACAACATCATTAACCAAAACTATATACAAGACAACTAACTAATGCTACTAAACATCAACAACTTCTCCATCTAACGCATGCTCCAAAGAAGTCTCATCATCATCATCTGCTCACACCTACCGAATGATCATATCAAAGCAAGAAACACAGTAACATACAACAAAACACAAGTAAAAGCGTAAGCTAGAGTAAACCGAATTATCTTAAAACATTGAATACATCACACAAAAGCCATTTCAATATACATATGTAATCACACATATAGCACCCTTAAATACAACTAGACTTGACTTATCCGGATAAAGTATGAATGTTGAACTATTGTTGGCTTAATCCAAGCTACAATACAAGGTTAGTCCTTTCAAGTGTCTTTGGCCAAGGTAAAGTCCCTAGACAAGAACCTCCTGCTACTCTCACAACATGCCTCATCCTTCTCTACTTGAAAATGAATGATCATTAGAGTGTCGGGATAAACACCAACACTTAATTCCATACATTCATACACTGAACACTCAAGAACCATCCATAAGAATTTCCTCCTTGGAACCCCCTCTCCATCATTTTCATTCACATATAAACCATATACATATCTATTCGCTTTTACATTGCATACCAACATATAAAATTGATGATAATATTGTTTAAGATCATAAAAGAACAATGAAAAATATAGATCATATACGTACTAGTGAATTTAGTTTAGATTAGTCAAAATTTCACTTTACTGGTAGAAATAATCTATTAGATTGGTAATCAAATATGTTAGGACAAGTCAGAATTCACATAAAGCAAAACAGACAAAAACTGCTCATTTTAATCTATTATGTTACTAACATAATCGATTAGACTGTAGTTTCTATTTTAATCTATTATGTTATTAACATAATCTATTAGACTGTAGTTTATGTTTTAATCTATTATGTTATTAACATAATCTATTATACTGTAGTTTCTGTTTTAATCTATTATGTTATTAACATAATCTATTAGACTATAGTTTATGTTTTAATCTATTATGTTATTAACATAATCTATTAGACTGTAGTTTCTATTTTAATCTATTATGTTATTAACATAATTTATTAAAACCAAAAACTATGGCCAAAACAATTATTATAACTTTGAACACTTTCCCCACACCTATATCAATCCACCAATTATTGCATAACCAAATTTAAATACACTTGCTAGCACACCTCAAAACCTCAATTACTCTTAGCCCTTCTATTTGAAAACCTCACCATGTAAAACCTCAATTTAGAATAAAAACACCTAAGAACTCACCCCAAGATGACACCAACTATTCTACACCAAATATTTCTCATTTAACCGCTTAGACAAGTCCTAATAGGTCTCATATCAACATCTAAACTACCCAAAATTGTTTACACTCATTACTTCAAAATCTCACTACTCAAAACCCCATTTTTACACTAAAAACACCCTAAAACTTCAACAAATCACTACTCCTTTTATTCCATAACAAATTTTAATCCACTAACATCTCTAACAAGTCTTAAATTACTTCATAACAGTCCCAAGATAGTAGTTCCCTCTCAACAGCCCCTATTACTCAAACTCACCCATCAAAACTCCTCTTTCTAACCTTGACCAACTAATGATTTGATCACTATTTTCCCCAAACATTCTGAATTCAATTTTTAACATCAATATAACTTCATTACACACTAACATAATAATATCAACATAAATTTCACATAGTACCAGGCATTAAATCATCCAACAAACATTGATCATCATTCAAACTCAAACATTACTAGAACAATCACTTCTAATACATGCAATACAACTTATTGTACATAAAGATACTAAATTCAAACCACTAAAATAATATAAAACAAGGTCTAGCTTCCCTTACCTCATAAGAAATTGCCCGACTCTAAGAATGTTCCACTGATTGCTTGAAACACCAGGAATTTCTAAAGGAACTTACGAAACACCGAAAAATGATCGAAAAGAGTTCTTAAGACCTCAATTTAACTAAGAATCAAAGGAAAAATAGAAAGGCTATATACAAGGGAAGATTCTTGGACAGAATCACAAACTGAGAATGAACATAAACACAGGTATAAACTTACTTATCCTATTCTTAAAATTAATCGGCTAGAGGTGGAGATAACTTAGTTGTGATGTCTTAGGAACTTCTTGATCATTAAACAAATGATCAAATGATGAGAAATCTTCACTACTACAGAATTAGCTATAGATGGCGCTGAATAGATAACGCTTTTTTAAATAAGCGCTATCTATGAATGTGCAGAATAATAGATACCACTTTTTTAAATAAGCGCTATCTATACCTATGATAATAGATAGCGCTTTTTAAAAAAAAACGTTATCTATAATTAATTAACTAATATAGCAGAAATGTCACTTACATTAGAGGTAACATCCCATTCACAATAAGTTTGATTATGTCAACGTGTTAGAGATGAATCCTCCTCCTGATTTCTTATTTTTCTAATCATGCAGGGAATTGTCTATGTTGTTGATAGTGGATTTTCTAAACAGCGGTTCTACAATTTGTTAATTATTTTGTTATTTCCATTGAAGAGATATAGTAATGAGCCTGTAATGATTATTTCTTGTTTGATTTATAAATGTAACATTTGGTTTATCTTTACTTCTATTCAAGTTTCTTTTTTGCTTTCAATTTTTTTACTGACATTCAATATAACACAANGAAAATGGAACGAAAAAATGAACTCAATAACCTTTTGTTTTAGTTTAATAAATTAGATTTTAAAATATATTAAATTATGTTAGAATATTAGAATAAGTTATCTAATTAACAGATATTAAATAATAATAATAAGTTATGTAAAAATAATTGGTTATCTTAAAAATTAATATATGTTAACTGGGTGAACAATTTTTTGTTAAATATTTTGTTTTCTAAATTAAAAATTAATAAATATTTAGTTTACTATAATATTTTAAAATAATAATAATAAAAATAAATAATTATTATTATTTTTATTATGTTGATTACTTTTATTTTAATTTTAAAAGATGTAATTTATTACAACAGACAAATTTTGTTTTGTACGGTGTGCTGAACGAAGGAAAAACAACTTTTAAAATTGGTTTTGTGTTTTTAGGGTTTTTCCCGTATAAAAAGCCCCTCCATTTCCTTCCTTTTCATCTTCCCCGGTGCCCTGTTTCTTTCCCGGAGAGTCCTGTTTCCTTCCCCGGCGTTTTCTTCTTCGAGTCCCTTTCTTCTATACCGTGGTTTTCTTCTCCGAATCTCCTTCTCCTACAACATCATGGCTACTCTGCTTAAATTTCTTTCTTCCCTTCCAACCAAACTTTCTAGAAACATCCAAACGGTTGGGCTGGTGACAACCGCCGGCATTGCTTCCACCGTTTACACGGTAGACCTCGGTCATACTGCTGTAGTCTTTAAGGGCTATCTAAGTCCACTTTTTGCCTAAATCCAGGCATTCATTTCCTTCTTCCATGGATACATACACCCCATGTCTTTGATGTAAGAGCAACCATCCATACTTTGCAATCGACCTTCTTTACGAAAGATGATAAAAGAATAAGCCTTCAGTTTCGCATTGTCGCTCGACCAAACGTTGAACATTTACCCACCTTGCTTAACCGGAGAGGCTTTAGGTATTACGAAATATTATTGCCCACTCTAAACAGTGGTATGAATGATTTGGGGAAAACTTACACTCTGTCTCAGATTCTGGAGGATGAGATAATTTTCTCCAAAACCATTCCTTTTGCGCGAAAATGCCCACAAAAACGGTATTATTCTCGATATAGTAGCGATAACATCCTTTGAGTATCCATCCACACGAAAGTGGTTTTGCTCCCGCTCTCGATATATGATGTTGCACAAGGTTTTGGGTGCATGAATTACAGTTATCCTTGACTTGGGTTGTAAAATTTAGATGGATTGAATTGCAAGATTTTGAAATTGTGATATATGCTGAATTCAATAAACATGAATTCCCCTCTTTTTTTGTTGGTAGGCGATGACGCGACTCGGGGAGGCTTCCTTTCTTTCTTTCTACGTTGGTCCTGGTAGAGTTCCTCCTTTCTTGTGGTGTGGTGCGGCGAGGCGTTTTGGTGGATGATTTTGATTTCTTGTTCTGGAGGTTTTGATTCACGACGCAATCCTCTTCCTCTTCTAAGATTGCGATTAGGGTTTCAGTTGTTCTTGAAGATTTGGGGGTTTTTCTGTTCGATCATCTGATTTCTTCTACAACATTAGATGTAGGGTTTCATTCCATTTGAAATTGGGTTTCCCACGTTCTTGTGGTTTGATTAAGGTTGATGGCTGCGATACAAGATTCGTCTCTGGAATGTCTCTGGAATTGAGGATTATATTTTGAGAAATTTTGGGTTTTTATGCGTTTTAGGGTCCTGGTTCGGGGTGGCTGTGGGTGGTTGCTGCAAACGGAGCAGCCATAGAGGTTGCGGTGATGGATGATCGTGAAGTTCCCAGGCTTGGGATGAACTGGCTGATTTCCTGGAACACAGATGAATAAAACCGAACGTTGGTGATCCAATCCTTGCTGGCTTAGCGCTCGGGTGCCGCCACGGCAACGGAGGCGGAGCGAACCTCCGAGGAGAAGAAGCAGAAGTCGCCGAGGGTGAATGACTCTCCAGCGAGGATGATGATGTAAGCAAATCTTACGATGACAATGAGAAGGCCGATGATGAGTAACTGTGTCAAAACATTTCTGAGTAAGGCCGGCTTCCCTGTGGCAGGCTCCATGGAAACAGATTGTACACTTTTCTTCAAGAAAATAATATGCTTTCAATATTTCTTCAATTTATCGTAGAAGCGAGTGAAGGAGTGGTTAGCGTCGAAGGATAAAACAAGATTTATGGCTATGGATTCCTGTTTGAGTTATATGAAACAATGATGAAGAAGTAAGAGAAGAAGTGATAAAAATAAGAGGAACGTCGTGTGGAGGTTCCAAATTGCATAATTTTTCAAATTTTCTTTTAATTTACTAAATTTCATGTTATCACTAACAGCATATTTTTTTTAATAAAATATCCACCTTAGCATATCCATCTCAGCACATTTTAATGTCGTTTTTGACAACCTGACGGTTAAGACAAAATTGGTTCAATTTTACAAATATTTGGATCAAATTGAGATATTTTACAAATATATAAATCCAATTGAGACAGTATGAGGACTCACTTGAGATTCTCATACAAATACGAGAATCATCCGAGGATTTAAACTTTTCTTTTTAATATATGAGAAGTCTATATTGGCATTGAAGCCTGATGGTTTATTTTTAGCAGCTATTCTTGGTGGAGAAACGTTAAAATAAATAGCTTGTAGGTTAACAAAGATGGAATTGAGCAAAGGCAGATAAGAAGTTTTTGCAGAGATGAGCATGGTCACATTTTATTGCTTACCGATAAAAGCCACAAAAACCATGTCACCTCACAACAATCTGGTGGCTAAAAGAATAATAGAATTTCCGCTTGTGAATATGCTTGTAATAATGTTCAAAGGATGAGACTGAGGTTGATCACTATTTATTATGATCAAGAGTCCGTTGTCATATCTTAACCCAAATTTTTAGATTAACTATATACGCTGATATACATTTTAATATATTATCACTTATAATAATGTTTTTAAACTCTTTTCAAGCTAATCATATCTAATCTCATATCCATGGGTGATAAATAAAAATGTTCTTACACTTTACAAACAAATCATATTGATCATCCCAAAATATAGTATAAAACTGTATAAGATCCATCACATAATATAACAAGAAAAATCAACAAAAGCTTAAAAATAAAGTTATTTACCGTCATATACATAATTATAAATTTAAAATTTTATTTACAACATCATTAACCAAAACTATATACAAGACAACTAACTAATGCTACTAAACATCAACAACTTCTCCATCTAACGCATGCTCCAAAGAAGTCTCATCATCATCATCTGCTCACACCTACCGAATGATCATATCAAAGCAAGAAACACAGTAACATACAACAAAACACAAGTAAAAGCGTAAGCTAGAGTAAACCGAATTATCTTAAAACATTGAATACATCACACAAAAGCCATTTCAATATACATATGTAATCACACATATAGCACCCTTAAATACAACTAGACTTGACTTATCCGGATAAAGTATGAATGTTGAACTATTGTTGGCTTAATCCAAGCTACAATACAAGGTTAGTCCTTTCAAGTGTCTTTGGCCAAGGTAAAGTCCCTAGACAAGAACCTCCTGCTACTCTCACAACATGCCTCATCCTTCTCTACTTGAAAATGAATGATCATTAGAGTGTCGGGATAAACACCAACACTTAATTCCATACATTCATACACTGAACACTCAAGAACCATCCATAAGAATTTCCTCCTTGGAACCCCCTCTCCATCATTTTCATTCACATATAAACCATATACATATCTATTCGCTTTTACATTGCATACCAACATATAAAATTGATGATAATATTGTTTAAGATCATAAAAGAACAATGAAAAATATAGATCATATACGTACTAGTGAATTTAGTTTAGATTAGTCAAAATTTCACTTTACTGGTAGAAATAATCTATTAGATTGGTAATCAAATATGTTAGGACAAGTCAGAATTCACATAAAGCAAAACAGACAAAAACTGCTCATTTTAATCTATTATGTTACTAACATAATCGATTAGACTGTAGTTTCTATTTTAATCTATTATGTTATTAACATAATCTATTAGACTGTAGTTTATGTTTTAATCTATTATGTTATTAACATAATCTATTATACTGTAGTTTCTGTTTTAATCTATTATGTTATTAACATAATCTATTAGACTATAGTTTATGTTTTAATCTATTATGTTATTAACATAATCTATTAGACTGTAGTTTCTATTTTAATCTATTATGTTATTAACATAATTTATTAAAACCAAAAACTATGGCCAAAACAATTATTATAACTTTGAACACTTTCCCCACACCTATATCAATCCACCAATTATTGCATAACCAAATTTAAATACACTTGCTAGCACACCTCAAAACCTCAATTACTCTTAGCCCTTCTATTTGAAAACCTCACCATGTAAAACCTCAATTTAGAATAAAAACACCTAAGAACTCACCCCAAGATGACACCAACTATTCTACACCAAATATTTCTCATTTAACCGCTTAGACAAGTCCTAATAGGTCTCATATCAACATCTAAACTACCCAAAATTGTTTACACTCATTACTTCAAAATCTCACTACTCAAAACCCCATTTTTACACTAAAAACACCCTAAAACTTCAACAAATCACTACTCCTTTTATTCCATAACAAATTTTAATCCACTAACATCTCTAACAAGTCTTAAATTACTTCATAACAGTCCCAAGATAGTAGTTCCCTCTCAACAGCCCCTATTACTCAAACTCACCCATCAAAACTCCTCTTTCTAACCTTGACCAACTAATGATTTGATCACTATTTTCCCCAAACATTCTGAATTCAATTTTTAACATCAATATAACTTCATTACACACTAACATAATAATATCAACATAAATTTCACATAGTACCAGGCATTAAATCATCCAACAAACATTGATCATCATTCAAACTCAAACATTACTAGAACAATCACTTCTAATACATGCAATACAACTTATTGTACATAAAGATACTAAATTCAAACCACTAAAATAATATAAAACAAGGTCTAGCTTCCCTTACCTCATAAGAAATTGCCCGACTCTAAGAATGTTCCACTGATTGCTTGAAACACCAGGAATTTCTAAAGGAACTTACGAAACACCGAAAAATGATCGAAAAGAGTTCTTAAGACCTCAATTTAACTAAGAATCAAAGGAAAAATAGAAAGGCTATATACAAGGGAAGATTCTTGGACAGAATCACAAACTGAGAATGAACATAAACACAGGTATAAACTTACTTATCCTATTCTTAAAATTAATCGGCTAGAGGTGGAGATAACTTAGTTGTGATGTCTTAGGAACTTCTTGATCATTAAACAAATGATCAAATGATGAGAAATCTTCACTACTACAGAATTAGCTATAGATGGCGCTGAATAGATAACGCTTTTTTAAATAAGCGCTATCTATGAATGTGCAGAATAATAGATACCACTTTTTTAAATAAGCGCTATCTATACCTATGATAATAGATAGCGCTTTTTAAAAAAAAACGTTATCTATAATTAATTAACTAATATAGCAGAAATGTCACTTACATTAGAGGTAACATCCCATTCACAATAAGTTTGATTATGTCAACGTGTTAGAGATGAATCCTCCTCCTGATTTCTTATTTTTCTAATCATGCAGGGAATTGTCTATGTTGTTGATAGTGGATTTTCTAAACAGCGGTTCTACAATTTGTTAATTATTTTGTTATTTCCATTGAAGAGATATAGTAATGAGCCTGTAATGATTATTTCTTGTTTGATTTATAAATGTAACATTTGGTTTATCTTTACTTCTATTCAAGTTTCTTTTTTGCTTTCAATTTTTTTACTGACATTCAATATAACACAAGTACAAGTTTGTACATAATAAAACTAATATTTTATATTTTTTTGAATTTTTTAAAATATTTTATTGAAAAATTATTATTTTTTTAAAAAAAATTTAGATCAATAAATAGCGCTTGTTCAAATAAGCGTTATTTATTGTCTGACAGCAATAGATAGCGATTTCTTAAAAAAACGCTATCTATTGTCAGACACCAATAGATAACACTTTTTTTAGAAGCGTTATCTATTAATAGATAGTGCGGTCATAGATAGCGCTTAAAAAACGTTATCTATGATAAAAAAACGCTATCTATACACTTTTTTGTAGTAGTGCTTAGAGATATGTGAGAGAAAACAAGGAGAAAGAGTTTTAAAGAGATAGATAGTGTTTGAAGTAATGAAATAGAGTTTAGAACATTTTATTTATATTATTCAATTATTTTAAAATAAAATAATCAGTCTCGTTATTTTAAAACACCTATCAACTCTAATGCTCTATTTTCTAAGTTCTTAGATGTCACATAACTATTATGAATGCTCATATACATCCACCCATGACCATACTAAAATAATAATCTATAGTAATTATTAAGTGTAACTATCATGGATAATGTTCCCATTTATTTAAGTCTACATTAAAATAAAATACTCTTTAGAAATATTTTTTTTACAAGTATGAATATTCTTTTCTCTCAATCATTTCAAGCTTTACCTAACCTTTTTAAGTTGTTTACTCTTAATTTAGTCATTTTAAGTTGCTTTACTCTCAATTTAGTTATCTTTCTTTCGTAGTTTTTTAAGTTGTTAAATTTCATCATTCTTAGCTTTGCATGTTGTGATTAATCCTTTATTGATGAATGTTACTCTTAGTTCTTTATAAAGGATGTTACAAATCTACCTTAAATTTGTTACCTTTATTATTTATGAAACAAATATTTAATAAATTGTACACAAATAAAATCAACAAAGAAATCTATCTTTATTATTTTTCAACAATTTTTGTAATGAATAGTGTATAACTAAAATGAACAAGGAATCCTAAATTTGAGTTGGTAATAACTCCTAAAATTGTTAATAAATGTATAATTTAAAAAAAGTAAACCACCAAACAGGATTTGTAAAAGAAATGGGAAAATATATGAGAAAATGATACAAGTTTAACATTAACCTATATTTATAATTTTGAACCACTTATGAATATTCTCTATATTTATATTAATCAAGGGGCTATCTTAATCTTTTATAGATGAATTTTATATTATTTTTATTCTAATCTACCATTTTAGTTTGTCCAATATATTCCTTTTTTGATGTATTAAGTTTCGGATTATTATTTTCTTGTTACTCTTAAACACACTTTGATTTTATTTTATGAGATGCTTGGCTTTTTGTTTGCATATTTTCTATGTGAAGTTTGTTTCTAGTGCAAATATAAAAGGACTTTAATGTTACAAAGTTCAAGTCATCATATCATAGAAACCAGAAAGAGCCTTTGAAATACATTCTATCTTTTTC